AAACAAATAAACAAACAAACAGTCTGATTAAATGATGTGACCGAGGTTAAAGGATCAAAGCACTGGATCTAGAATGTGAAATTCTTGACATTTAACTTTGTTACTGTTAGCTACTTACCACTGAGTGAAACAAAAGTGTTTGTTCCATAAATAGCAAGAAATGTAATAGTAAGTTGCTATGTCAAGAATAGGACTCCATGTGGGACTATTGAAAGCTGGATGGTCTAGCTCTGCTTTTTATCATTTGTAAGTTACCTAAACTTTTCACAGCTCAATTTTCTCAACTCTTAAAATCAGACAAATATTAGCACCTACTTCATAGAGCTTTGTAAAATAGTTAATATTAAGTGCCTAGCATAGTACCTGGGTTATAGTAAATACTCAGTAAGTTAGAGCTGATATCATTATCATTATTTTTATTATTTCATAAAATAAAGGTAATGATTTTGATTTATTGGACTGCAAAGACAAATGCAAATGAAATTCTCATATTTTCAAATGTCATTATTAAGAATAACATCATTGTTTTTGCATCATCATTTTGCTTGAATTTCCACTAGTTTATGCATTACTAGAAACATGTATAGCACAATATTATAAATCTTACAGGGAGACCAATGCTTTCTTTTTTTTTTTTAATATATTTTATTGATTTTGTACAGAGAGGGAGAGAGATAGTTAGAAATATTGATGAGAGAGAGTCATCGATCAGCTGCCTCTTGTACACCCCCTACTGGGGATGTGCCCGCAACTCAGGTACATGCCCTTGACAGGAATCAAACCTAGGACCCCTCAGTCCACAGACCAATGCTCTACCACTGAGCCAAGCCGGTTCCGACCCAATGCTTTATTTCTATTTTTAAAGTGATGAATTGGTAAGAACATCAAAGATAACTACAATGTGTGTGGTAGCCTTACTAAAATATGTTTATCAGTCTTATGAAATCTTATCTGAAGGCAATGTGATAGTGGTACAAAATAAAGTATACATAGAAGTCACATATTTTGAGATGTCAGATATTTAGCCTATACTCAATAATTTGAGGTACCTAACTCTTATTTGACTCATCCTTTACTTCTTCTGAATACATTTAGTCATATTTCAACTCATTTATATACCCATCTTTGGGAGAGTGAGGGAAAACAGGAAGGATAAAGAACAAATCTGTTAATGCAGTTATACCTTAATAAATCAAAAAGAAGTGGAGAACGTTTAAACTCTAACATTAAATCTTTGGTAGGTCTCTGGCTCCACTCTGTGCAGCAGCTACACCTCCCCTGTCTTCATGGCCGGGATAATTTAGAATTAGCTAATATGTTTTCAAAAGGTGGGGCACTTAATCTTTAAAGCTCCTCATCACAAATGACTGAATGGTTCTGTAACAACTGAAATTAGGTCATCCTGTATAAAAAATGCACTGAATCTTTTGCATTAAACTTTCTACTATTATTAAAACTACAGTCTATTTAGCCACATTCATTTATTACTTATCCATTGCTGTTGCAGTTAATGAACAGCTCATTATACCAAACAAACAAAAATCTAGGTGACTTGAAAGAAAAAAAAAATCTGCATTAACAGAAAATAAATGTCTGCAGAAATTTCAAAACTGTATTGAGCATTTAATTGAAATGTTGGGCAAAATGTATTTAAGTAAATATATCGAGAGAGAGAGAGAAAAAAAAAGTTAGCAATATAACCTAAAACCTAGAGATGGATTGATTATACAGACAATGACTAGATCATATATAAAAATAGAGATCTAACCCACAACTGACAGCAAACTTCCCAGGAAACTGTTTGTGCCATACATGGCCCAGAAAGTCAGTTGGCTAAGTCAGATTTGTAAGAAGCCATATTATTATCTCTAAGAGCAGTTCAGGAAGCTGAACAATAACTTGTGTACCAGTTGGTTCAAAATTACCAAGACTTATATATATATTTTTAATACGTTTTTGTTGATTTTAGAAAATAAGAAGGAAGAGGGAGATAGAGAAAATGACATCAATGATAGAGAAACATTGGATGTCTGCCTCCTGCAGTCCCCTGACTGGGGATTGAGCCCACAATCTGGGCATGTGCCCTGGTTGGAATCAAACTGTGACCTCCTGAGTCAATACTCAACCACTGAGTCACAATGGCCAGGCACCAAGACTTGTTTAATAACTAACAGCTTCCTTCATCTTTGTCCCCACTTTCAAATTAGGAACAATCAGAAAAAGCCAAATATGTACCCCTAATTAATCACATAAGATACCCTGTTTCTACTCTGCCCACATTCAGCTTCCTCAGGACAACAGCTCCAAGCAGAACATACCCAAAGCCTTCCTTTGTCTCCCTATAAAGTTTTCTCTCTCCTCTGTCTGCCTTAGAATCTGCCAAAATATTAGCGATGGTGGCTGATGCCTTTGCTATAGCACTCTCTGAATAAATAGACTTTGCTTTTCTTATTTCGTTGGTTGGTCTTCAACCAAATATCTCTGGGTGATTCTAAAAAGAAAGTAAGAAGTGTTTACTTGCTGGGCACTTCAGATACTCTGCATTTTTCAAAGTCATATGCCTAATAACCATATTAGATAAATATCAATGTGTTTATTTTACAAATGAAAAAAAGTCATATAGTTATTCAGAACATTACCTAAAGATGTTTGGCTAGTGAGCAGTCATTACCCAAGAAAACTAGATTATCTTATGATTTCAAAGTCCAAAGAATACTCTTAAGAAACATTAGATTAAAATTCACTTTCAGATGTTTCTTTACCACCTAAGTTGTCCTAAAATTGAAGTAACCTATTTTCTAAGTATAACATAACTTAGCTTTATAGAAAAGAAGGGGGGTGGAAGAATTTTCACATGTTAGAAATTACCATAAATTTACATAAAGCCCAATTGGAAAAAAAATAGAATAACATAGATGAGTGGTAAAGCTTTCTAATGCCTGAAAATGAAAGTGATATTTAAGCGTAATTCCTTTAACAATGACCAAAAAAAGTTAAAAGAATACTACAGATAATACTACTTAAATAATAATGTAGAATATGAAATGATGGCTGAAGACTAAGTAATTCCTCCTGTGGGTTCTACTTTTTTCTCATTAATTTCATTTAATTACCTCAAATTTTATTAAACATTCCTTGCATTGAGCGTAAATTAAAATGAACAGAATTTTGGAATTTGAGAATTCTTATGAGAAGATAAAGATTCAAGCTTTTGGACTTTGTAGCATTTCATGTTAAGGAAGGAAAACAATTTCCTTGAAATTTCCATTTTAATAAAAATATATAAAGTTGTCATTTTGAATTATAAGTACCGAAGGCATAATGTGGCCATTTTGCTAAATGTACAGAGGAAAAGAAAGGTGCCTCTTTTATACATCTAATGGCTGTTCCTTCTCAGAGACTCATTGCAAATATCTATTAGTTGGTTTAATTTTTAAATCTTTTAGTTATATCTCCTCCCCACTGGGATGCAAGACATATTTTTCATAGAAAAGAAAAATATAGTGAGGTCTCCACCACTGACTCTTACTATATCAGACCTTCTAGGCTGGGCAAAAGGTGTGGGGGCCGATTGGGGATGCATTTTATAAGAAAATCACCTGGGAATTCCCCAAATAACATGTTGAGGTTGGTGTCAATAAGAACAACCACGTCATAAAAATAAGACATTCTATTCACTCTGAAGCAATGGCTTGTGTAGTAGAGACAGACTGCATGCCTTAGAAACATGCTCTTCCATTGGCTGACGGTGTGACACTAGTCAGATGGTGTCACTCTGTGAAGATTTTAAGATGGGAACAATAGTAGGATCCCATGGGGCTGCTGGAAAGATTAGAAGACTCTATGTGTGCTGACACATAAGAAATACTAGGTATTGCTTTATGATTGCTGTCAACTTTATTTCAGAGAGTGAGCAGCAAGGTGAACGCTTTGTTATGCCCATGGTCAAGGCAAATAGAATGCTTCTTGTTCTGCAAGTTCTAACGTTCTTAGATGCAGGAGGAGACTTAAAGAAAAGAATCACTCTTTAGAAAAAAAAAAAACAAGCATCATATTTATGCCTTTTCAATAAAAAAAAAATATTACAGGCATCAGTTTACTGCCTTTCCTTGCTATAAATGGCCAGTTCTTGGTAACAACAAGTATACTGTGGTACTCTGTTTCTATAGCTGTGTCTCTTTCATGTACTGGGCACTGTTGAGGGCAGGAGGTATATTGAAATCCTTTCAATCTCCCCGGTCTAATAATGCTTCACATGCAGAGATACTCAATACATGCTGAATAGATTATGAGTAACATCTTAAAATAAACATATAAATGAATACATGGATTGGCAGTTTTCAGAAAAAGAATGGTATTCATAGAGAATGGGCTTAATAGTATCAGTGAAATGCAAATTATTTTCAGAAGTTTCTTTCAAAACTTAAATCTCCATCTTCAAAAATGATTAAGCAGTCTTCCTAATACTATTAATTTCATTCAAAGAATTGAACAATTTTCTCTTTCTGCTTAAACTTGACAAAATATTTCATGTCTCTGAGTGAAAGAGAATTGTATTGATATTACCTCTTGACTAATAAGTTATATCATCTTATTGAGAAAGAAAAGTAGAAAGCTCATCTTGATAAAAAAAAACACACAACAACACACCTTTCATTTATTTATACATGTGCAGTTTTCTTTATTTGAATTGGCTTTTGAATTTTAAAAAATATTTGTTTTAACTTACTTAAGGTAAATAAAATGTTTCTCCTGAAATCTTGAAGATTTTCAAAGTGCATATTGTATTGCTATACTTTTCTTCCAAAATTAACTATGTATGACAAGTTTACTGTAGCAATTTTTTGGTATGGTATATGATACGTTTTTAAGCTAGCAATAACACTGATTTGGGATATAAAAATGTTTTGTAATTTTAGTCTTTAAATATATTTACATATTTTCATTTCTCAGTAATAATATGATACTAATATGATGCTTGATATATAATTACTTCTTACCCTATTTGAGTCGATTCTTGCTCTGGATGTATAGATGGGAGGTGGGATGTTGAAAGCCTGAGGGACCAAGTATTCCTCAGCATCCATCATATCTTCTAAATCTTCTTCATCCAAGAGATTCTGAAAGAACTTGCTATCGTTTGGACTGGGAAGCTTCATACGATCATCACCCTAAAGGATTGCCAATGAGAAACACAAAATTTGATTCTTCCTTTTATCTGAAATACATGGCCTTTGCAGTAAATTTATAATCAAAACCAATGCTTGAAAATGCATGTACTCATGTAAAAAATAGTTCTTTAGCATAACTGCCAGCCATAAAAGAGCCTGTAATATGCTCAGATATGACAAGGAAAACACATTTAATACAAAAAAGAATACACTAAATGCCATCAGAGATGAATAAAGCAAAATGCTATGTTTTGAGGAAGACAAAACACATTTCAGATCTGAGAGTAGTGGTCAGCTTTACTGCCCACATGGTGTCTGGGGTTTGACTTTACGAATAAATAATAAAGGGCAATTGATTTATCAATCTTTGTTTTTAGGGTGGTTTGTTTCATAGTGTAGAGTTATCAGGATGCACAGGCTTATATTTGTCCCATGGCACACAACACTGTTGAAGTGAGGGCATTAAAAAATCACAGCCCACGTGGCATAAAGCATAAATAGGAGTGGGAGAGACACCCAAACCCTTGTTATACTCTTTCTTACCTCATCTATTTCATATAGATGAGGTAATGTGCCCTCTCATTATTCTGAGACTTGAATCTGTCCAAACACTGTAGCTGCTCTCCACATAAGCCAAAGTCTATTTGTTTATGGATTAGGTAAAAATCATCACTGAAAATATTATATATATATATATATATATATATATATATATATATATACTTAAATTACCTGATTATAATATATTTTTTTTTAAAAAAAATATATATATCCATTTTTTTAAATATATTTTATTGATTTTTGTACAGAGAGGAAAGGAGAGAGATAGAGAGTTAGAAACATCGATGAGAGAGAGTCATCGATCAGCTGCCTCTTGCACACCCCCCACTGGGGATATGCCCGCAACCAAGGTACATGCCCTTGACCGGAATCGAACCCGGGACCCTTCAGTCCTCAAGCCGACGTTCTATCCATTGAGCCAAACCGGTCTCGGCTAAAAATATATTTTATTGAATTCATAAAAGAAGAGAGAGATAGAAACATTAATGATGAGAATCATTGACTGGCTGCCTCCTGCACACCTCCTACTGGGGATTGAGCCCACAACCCAGGCATGTGCCCTTGTTCAGAATCGAACCCAGACCTTTCAGCACACAGTCCAATGCTGTATCCACTGAGCCAAACCAGCTAAGGCTCCCAACCCATTTTTTTCTTTCTAGTGTTAAACATGAACTCTTTTGGCCTGTTATTTAATTTACTGGAGTCCTGGTGCATGAAATTTGTGCACACGGGGGTGTGTCCCTCAGCCCAGCCTGTACCCTCTCCAATCTGGGACCCCTGGAGGGATGTTCAACTGCCCATTTAGGCCTGATCAGACATCCCTCTCACAATCCAGGACTACTGGTTCCCAACTGCATCGCCTGCCTGCATTCCTGATTGCCAATAACCGCTTCTGCCTGCCAGCCTGTCACCCCTAACCACTCTCCTGCCAGCCTGGTCACCTCTAACTGCTCTCCCCTGCTGGCTTGGTCCCCTTCCCCAACTGCCTGCCCTTGCAGGCCTGGGTACCCCTAAAACTGTCCTCCCCTACAGACCTGGTCCTCCCCACCCAACTGCCATCCACTGCAGGTCTGGTCACCCCTAACTGCCCTCCCCTGAAGGCCTGGTCCCAACTGCCCTCCCCTGCAGACCTGGTGCCCCCCAACTGCCCTCCCCTTCAGGCTTGGTCATCCCTAACTTCTCTCCTCTGCCAGCCTGGTCACCCTTAACTGCCCTTCACTGCAGGCTTGATTGCCCCCAACTGCCCTCCCCTACTGGCCTGGTCCCTCCCAACTGTCCTCCCCTGCTGGCCATTTGTGGCAGCCATCTTGTGTCCATATGGGGGCAGCCATTTTGTGTGTTGGAGTGACTGTCAATTTGCATATTATTCTTTTATTAGATAGGATATGCATATCAATTCATTTGAATCTGAGTAATGCTTAGATACTACATATTTCCCCAAACAAATTTAAAAATAGTCTTCTATGAAATGAAATATCAATATATTGAAGCTTTAATTCATTGTCTTCAATCGTGGATAAGAGTAAGATAAAAATCGATCCTTTTTTGATCTGAAAAGAGAAGATTATAATAATGAACATGACACACATAACGCTAACAAAAAGCAGAGTGCTAGAAGACTAGTGTCAGAATAAAGGCTTTTTGTGTAGATGAATAATCATAATTATCTAGCTGTTCAATAGCAGAGGCACTTGAATATTAAGGGAAAGTATTTAGAAGAATTCTGACAACAAGTAAAAGCTCTTTTTCATAAGTCATTTCACATGATGTTCTGCTTAGTTAGTCTATTTGTGAGGGTGATTTCCACAGTTTCAAAGCCCAGATATCACTCATATGTGGAGTGAGTTTGCCATTGGGAAATTGTTAAAAATCTAAGGCATAAGTACTCACCTGAATAACTAAATATCTTTGCGGGTCCCGAGCCATCCTGGAAAACTCAGCAGCCAGTTCCTTAAATTTAGGTCTACTGTCAGCATCAATCATCCAACCTAGAAATTCACATGCAATAAAAGTCATAATCAGGAAGAAATGGGACATGGAATTTATGAAAATATAGGCTAACTATGTTGTTTTTACAATAGTGTTTTGAGAAACAAAGAAAGTTAATGAAAGAAACAACCCAAAAGATGAAGGTTCCACTTCAATCAGTTTGTTGACACAACTAAATTTAATATATTATAGAATAACATAAATTTTTATTTTCCTGATCTAAATTAAAATTGTTTTCTTCCTAAAATATATATAACCTAGTTTAATTATACTAACTTAGTAGACTTTCAGATAATTTTTTCTTAGGTACAGAGAGAATTCTCTTTTAAAGCTTTTCTTTGGTGGTTATAGAAAAGGTGATTGGAATATAATTTATTATTCTGTATGAGGAGAGCCATGGAATAAAAGGTTGGTACAATAGCACAAAGGATTAAAAAAGAAGAAGAATAGAAAGCAACTTTTTAATGGTATCTTTTTCTTGATTGGGGGAAATAAAAATCACAACAAACTACTGTACAGTGATTGGTAACGTTTGTTCATCCATCACCATTATCTTGTTTTAGTACTAGCCTTTTCAGAATAAAAATTCTCTCAGCAGTTTTCAAGTATGCATTGTTATTTAGCTGGGAGTCTAGCTAAAGTGGGTCTCATCTCCCCAGGCTCTGTGTAGCTGATGAGATGACAAAAATAAAAGTACCAGGTTTCCTTGATGTTTTTGCCAAATGACCCTTTTCTTAGGTACTAAATCTCCTAAAAGCAAGGTAAAACTCCCTATTGGGCAAAGTTTTCTTAATTTTTCATTATTTCATTAGGGTATCTAAATGAAATATAGGAATCATCCTGTATGCTAGGTATGGGATCAAATTATATAAGGAGTGCGTGTTTTTAAACATTCTTCCATAGACTTCTGGTCAGTGCTTGAGCCAACAAAGCCATAGAGCTCCTTTCTCTTTTGTCTAGGAGTTCAGTTTTTATTCTTGTTCTGGAAAGTATTTGGGTGTCATTTTGTATATTATTAATTACACGTAAATTTTATTTCTTCTAACAAAGTTGAAATGCTCTGTATTCTACACGCATCTGCTGGCGGGGGAAAGTAATACTTTTGATGCCAAGATGCTAATAAGAAGATCGTGTTTTGGAACACATTGGGACAGAAAAAGGTTAACTTCACAGCGAGGTTTCAGTTTCCCTCCAACTAAATATTGAGTAAATAGAACCGTGCTTAGAGAAAAGGGCATGCTGACCTGCACTGGAAAGCACATTTTTTATTTCTTTCCTCCCTGTCAGAATGTATCACACATGTCATGAATATAAATTGGGTAGACCTGGGTCCAAAGTCTCTTATTAATAAGATGCTTATTCACCTTCACCAGTTTGTTTCTTTGCTAATCCTGTGCAAATCAAAAGGGGAAAACCCCAGATTACACAAGAAAGATTGCTGAATGTTAAGCTCACTTAAATTAAGTCAAAAACTCCAGAGACTTTTCTAATTCTATTTAAATTAAGAGCCCCGGCTTCTAAAACACTTGCCTAGGCATAGAAAGGAGAACTAAAAGAAAGAGCCAGACATAAACAAATGATCAAATTGAAATAAGTAAACATGTATTATATAATCTTTTTAGTTCAATATAGATTCATGTCTACCCACTTCCCCTTTGCCTGGCTCATATCCTGTGGCCAAAAACCCATTTCCATGTCATTCATTTTTATGCTATCAATTTCAAGCTTTCTTTCTTTATACTTAGACTAGAGGCCTGGTGCATGAAATTTGTACATGGAGGTGGGGGAAGGTGTCCCTCAGCCCAGCTTGCACCCTCTCCAATCTGGAACATCCCTCTCACAGTCAAGGACTACTGGCTTCCAACCACTCACTGCCTGCCTAATTGCCCCTAACCACTTCTGCCTGCCAGCCTGATCACCCTAAACACTCTCTTGCCAGTCTGATCAATGCCTAACTGCCCTCCTCTACAGGCCTGTCACCCCAAACTGCCCCTTCCTTCAGGCCTGGTTCCCCCCAACTGTCCTCCCCTGCAGGCCTATCACCCCCCCAACTGTCCTCCCCTGCCGGCCTCTTTGCCCACAACTGCCCTCTCCTACAGGCCATCTTGTGGCCACTATCTTGTGTCTACCTGGGGGTGGCCATCTTTGATCACCTGGGGACAGCCATCTTATGTAATTAGAGTTATGATCAATATGGTCTTTATTAAAGATAGGATCATTTATTTAGCCTGGTATCTATAACAATAAAAGCATAATATGCTAATTAGACTGGATGTCCTTCCATGTGTCCTTCCTACCAGACAAAGCTGCAGCCGCAGGGGGCCTGACCAAGGCCCTCTCAGAATTTCATGCATCTGGCCTCTACTTTTCCTATAAAAATACTAATATTGTGACTAGTTTCATCTCTTTATGTAAGACAATTTGATTGCCATGGAAATGATAAAAATCATATAATTTGACTTCACACCACAGAGGCATGATACCGCTTCATTTTAATAATGATCACAAAATGCACAGGTGTTTACATGCTGCTTCCATAATTATTTTTGAACTTTTATAATTATCAATATACAAAACCATTACGCAGGTAGATTAATTTATTAAGAATGATAGAGAAATCATTTTGCTGTCTTACATTTGACCATGACCATGTAAACGTCAATAGTGCAGATAGGAGGCTGGGGCAAACGTTCTCCTTTCTCCAATAAGTCAGGGATTTCTCGGGTTGGAATTCCATCATAGGGTTTTCCTCCAAATGTCATCAGTTCCCATATGGTGACTCCTAAATTGGAGATTAAATTCTTATGTAAGCACATTAACAACGTATTTGGAATAACTAAGCAATACACAAGCGGCAAAGGAATGCTCCCCAGAGGGCAATCAAAATAGATTTAAAAAGGCTCTTCTGATTCCTCTACTCATTTTTAGACACCCGATGACAAAATCTTTGTAAGAAATTCAATTAATATTATCTTGACATTTTTAATGTGTAGTAAAGACAATTCAGGACAAAAATCAGAATAAAAAATCTGTTCCCCATGTACTTATAAATAATGCTAATGTTTGCTGCCCCAAGTTAAGTTTCACTATACCACATTAGAGCAGACAAAACAATTTATTTACTATATGCATGTGTATTCAGCACCGAGTAAATATGATTGCAGGTAAAATCTGATATTGACTAAACTCAAGATTAACATATTTGCTACTAAAAGTTCTAATGACTAAGCTGGTGTTCCTGAATGATTAGCTTTTGTTAGGGTAAATAATTGTGGCCCCCTTTTCAACTAACACAAAGATAATAAGTGGAATAAAAACAGATTCATTTATTTAGGACATATGAAAACCTGAGTGGGAATAATCCATATGTAAGATATTATACATGTGAAGTGGGGATTACAAAATTGAAAGAAATTAACAATCATTTTTTCTTTACACAAAAAAATCCCATTCTTGAATTAATTTTCTTGGTAAAAGCAAACACCTAAAATATTAGCATGCAGATATTATTATTTGATAATAATAATAATGATTTGATTTGAGCAATAATACATATATTACATATCTCTTCTTCATTATGCTCTAGTAATTGTAGAACTAAAATATATACTTTTCCTTAGGATAAAGACTCTACATTCAGAAATCAATATCTGGGCACAATAGTATTATCAAGAGAAGTGTCACTGATTTATATAATCAGTAATTTTTTATGTAAAACCTATTAATTAAGACTATGTTTTCTTTTCCACTGCCATCTGTAATAAATGATTTACTCAAACTGCAGTCTTTTTAAAGCTCCTAACACTTCCATGAATAAAAAAAGGTGTTCTTTGGAAAGTAACCTCACAGGGCCATCTGATCATACATTTCCAATTGGGCTGCTCCTGGTGGGCAGTCATGGTGGGGAGGCATATAACTTTTTAGTATAATTTACTTACCATAGCTCCAGACATCACTTTGATGGGTGAATTTCCTATAGTGGATACACTCCAGAGCCATCCACTTAATTGGCATCTATAGAGAAATAAAAAAGTAAAAGTTTTATAGTTATATAAACTATTTTCTACATTGATTTCTTCAATGTGAGTCTTGCTTCAATTATATATTTTTTGACTGTTTGCATTGCAAATGTAAATATGTTGTTTTTCAATACAGGGAACAAGTAAATTGACATTTATAAATTCTTAAAATGATTTAACCTAAAGATACATTTATTTTTTTAAAAAATCTTCATAAACAGAGAAAACTAAACTAACAAAATAAGCATCACTTTTTGTAATTCTTAATTTATGTAGTAATTAGACTTAGCTAATATTGTTTTACAATTCTAAACACCAACACACGTACTTCTACAAAGTGGGATCATATCATATCTCCCCCAAAATCAGTCTCCTTGAATTCTCACTTATCCCTTCTCACCCTCAGACAAATGGCAGCCCACCAGTGAAATAGACTCTCCATGCTTGCTTCTTCCCTCTCCTTTCATATAACTGTGGCACTAAAACACCTAATAAACTGAAATACAAAGTTAGTCTTGCTCTGGTCCCCAACCCCAAATAATATCCCTCATCTTGATCAGCTAGTATTGAAAATTCGTACCATTTTCAGTACAGAAATTATATAAAAGAATATGAGGGAATCAGTACACACCCCCATCACTACAAGCAAAACAACTCAGCTCACATACCCTGCTGCCGATGGGTCAGCAGAATGCGTTTCACTACAAAGAGCAGCATTATGTAGCTGAAAATATAACTAGATTCTATGGAATAAAGATAAACACTGCTACTTGGCAGTTGAAAGCTTAAAACTAAATAGGCCTTTGAAAGCATGAGGTTGGCTGCTCACCAAGGTGATACCAAGGTAACTCCATGACAGAATCATAGCATGCAGTGAAAGGGAACAGAAGACACATTGAAAATAATTTCCCTATGGGCAAGGAGTTAGCTGACTTTATAGACTGCGGACATTGTGTTGAAGAAGTAAGGTTAAATCACAGGTGGCTTGATAAAGACTTAATGGTTACTAGGCATTTAAAGCTATAATGAATCTTGCTTTAGACGAATCTTACAGCTGTATGTTCTCAAGACAAGTGAAGTCATGTGATTTATAGACTTTTGCTCCTGTGCAATCTTGCAGTGAATTTCAAAGCTCTGGTCTCAAACTGCTGTGATAGGGTAATAAACAGGCAAAATAAGCTAATAAAATCAAGGGAAAAGCCAGATAATACTACAAAACTGCATTTGTATTTTTAAAAATAATTTTTGTATTCTTGGTAATATTTGAATACATATGGTTATGTAAGAATTGAATATAAAAAAATCAATGATAAACATTTAGAAGCCTATCACTTCAAAATATTTATAAAATATATTTGGATGGTCCATGTTAAATAAAGCATATGATAAACATATCATTTATATGACAACTTTTTATCAGTATTAGCTTTGGGTCAGCGGAAGGTAAGACTGTGTTTTTGTTTTATCATTTGATTCTCCTTATCTAAGTTTTCCCAAGTCCAGCTAGAAGGACCTGCACAATAAAACTATACTGGTTTGTCAGCCAAGAATGGAAAAAGACAAAAACCTAAGCCATGAACATCTGGTGGATGAGAGAGGCAGGACCACAGGTGTCAGGCAGAGCCTGGGGCTGGAGGGTCAGAAAAGTTAGGAGAAACTGTAGCTATTCAGACCCCTTGGGATATAGCAAGTTACAGAGGAAAGAGTCAGGTAATAAATAAAGCAAATTGGTAATGCCTACACTATGATAAAAGCTAAAACAAATAAATCAGATAAGAGGAATCTGTTTTATCGGTTCCAGGAGGATTAGAAGTTAAATAGGCTGGTCAATCTTCCTACGGTCCTAAGGAAGCAGCCAAGCTTCTCGCCAGCCTGTGAGAGAGAAATTATATCCCCTGTAAGAGTCAGCTCTATGCTTTTAGGACCAATGCAACAATTTCTATAGCCCTGGATTAAAGCCTCGTTTCTGGAATCCCAAAGGACCCGCCCACTTTCCCACACTGGACCTCACATAAGGACTGCCTGGGTCCAGACAGGCATTGTTTTATTTGAGCTACTTTTGAGAAAGAATAGCTGGCAATGTGTTCTCTCTGTGTGTGTTTACCCTGGCAGGAGACACTGTCAATGGTAGAACTGGGATTATGTAATCTCTTAAATCTCAGGCTTATTGGCTTCTTCCTATAAAATACAAGTAGATGAAAGGATACCATCATATGCTTACAAGCAACATAGCTCTCAAAAAATACTCACCTTTCCTCCATCAGCATTATACTCCTTTTCATCTCCTTCCAAGAGTCTGGCTAGTCCAAAATCCGTGATTTTCACATGGTTGGGAGATTTCACTAAGACATTACGGGCGGCCAGATCGCGATGGACAAGCCGTCTTTCTTCCAGATACATCATTCCCTGAAAAACACAAGGTTCCCCGAGACAGTCAGTGAATGCCTCATCTTTTCTGTTGACTAAAAGGGCATTTTTTTTTAATTTTTTTTTTTAGCATTTAGTGTAAAATGCTTAACTTTTCTAAGTGAATCAGATCCCTGGAATATTTTCAAAATTTAGGGAAAACCTGGGATAAAAAAGTGAACAACAAATAGCTTTTTGCATTTTCTCCCGGAATTCCTATAAAGAAGAATAAATTACCTGCACACAAGCTAAATGTTAGATGATTTTTTCTCCCTAGAGACTTGATGCTCTTTTGCAAACACTCTCATTACTGAGGTGTGCAGGTGTCTTCGTAGATAAGCTAAAATATATTTGGAATGATCCACATATTCATAATTGTTTTCTTTTCAATAATTCCTGTGTCATGTCATCTTCCCCATACATGCCTGCTCCAAACAAATACAACTATCCATAATTTTGAAAGGTATTTCATATAAAGATTTGATGGTGCCCAAATCACCAGCATAGATTCTTATCAAGGTTGCAGAATTAGATTATTCTTGTTAATTATGCAAAAAATGAAGAATACCCTACAGTCATTAAAAGCTTGTAATTTAAAAAAGGCTTCAGTGACATTTGTAGTGTTTATAAGAACACACGAATGAAATTACATAGCTTTAATGACCCTCAAATTAACTTTTAATATGTTGTCTTCATGAAACATATAGGATAATTAAAAATAAAATGTATTGCTGATTGTCAACAAGAGATATAGCTGGATCACCCTACAATATAACATGCATGCATGTGTACATATACATATGTATACATGTATGTATATATGTTATATATATGTCACTTATGATAGATGACATATATTATTAGTATTTACAGAGATTGTTAAAATTTCATAGAAGCAATAATTATTAATGGTTACCTCAGCAGCAGGGGAACTAATAGTCAAATGCTAGCTTTAATGAAAAGGTTGATATAAAGACTCTTTATATTATAAAGCCAAGGAAATGAATTCAGAGGCCTAGAGTGAATATATTTTGTTTAAGTAAATGTATTTTTATTAAAGAGTCAGAGGGTATTCTTTATTGGAATACTTCAGTGGTAAAAAGAAAAGGTTGTCATTCCAAAGCAAATCAGAATTTTTGTAAATGGTCAAAGCATACTCTCATGCCAATTGCAAATCAATGCTGTTGGCAGTTCACATTACAACTTCAGGACTTTGAAGGATTAATGGTTTCTGATATCAAAACAAAAGCTGTGGAAAACAGACACATAAATCACACAGGTCAGAAAATTATGAACTGTATGCCCAGTGTAGTGTAAAGAGAAGATTGCTTCAAACAACATCATGAGCCAAACTCTATAGAAATGTCCATTAAACACAACCAGTGGAGATAGTGCCTGTGATGGTCCAATCAGTCAGCAGTTGGTGACACCACATGTATTAGTGTTTTCTGAAATCAACCCATGGCTGGGATTTATGGAGGGTTTGCCCTTTTTAAAATAGTGCTTTCTATTTGATTATGCCAAATTGGATATTCCTAGAATAAAGTGAGTCTGAAAACATATAGCCCTTAGGTGACTTGAAAGATCAAAAAACAACAACATATTGCCTAAGAGATAATCACCATTAATTTTTGTCAATTGAAGAAATGTCTACAATAATATTCATTATTTTCTCTCTTACCACACTCCTATCAGAATATGGAAATTGTGTAGGCAACTTACTATTCAGATCCACACATAATTACAGGACACACATACTATGTGCCTAGGACTGTACTAGAGACCAGAGAGACAAGGAGTCAAAGTCTTGGCATTAAAGAAGGACGGAGATAAGTTAATGAAGTGGGCAGATGTGGAATACAAACTCCAGTGGATCAGCGTGATGCATGTTAGGCATGTAAGCAGAGCTGTATCTTAAGGACTGTTTGTAGTACAGCCTAGCAGCCTCTGAGAGAGGCTTTAAAGGGATAGTGAGTGATAAGTAAGATTTGAATAATAGCCACCAGTTGGACAAGATGAAGGCAAAACTGCAGATAGAGAGAACAAGCACAGGGATATCATAACATGGCATACTAGGACAAAGGCATTTTGTCATTCTGTTTGTTTGTTTTTTTTCCCTCTGGAGAATAATATATAAGGAAAAAGGAACAGTGAGTGATGAAACAGGAAAATTAGGGAGAAACCAGACCCAAGAAGGGTCCCTTCCATGTCATGGTAGAGAATTTGGCCTTGCATTTTGTGCAGCATTCAATGCAGTGATGCTGAAGTTGTTTGAAAAAGGAGAGAGAGGCAGTAATCTGTGACCTGAGGATAGACTGGACACACATAAAGCTGAAGTCAGGAGCCACTGCCACAGCCCAGAGTGTGAAATAAAGGCTGCGTACTGGCAGTCTGTGTGCTACACCCATTTTTCATATATATTTTCAGTTCCCATAACAGGCAAGTTTCAAACATTCTCTTTAGCTAATTATTAGATGTACCCAATTGAGAGCATCTGGTCTTCTGTTTCAGGAACCCACTATTTTGCTAGTATCCTTTATGATACCCATCCAGCTTCTACATACACGAGTGGGTGAAACTTCAACTAAACTAGACCAGAAAGAATATTAGGAAATAGATTTCATGGTACATTTTTAAAATAAAATCATTAGCCTAGTTAACTGACTTAATAATAAAGGATAATAACTTGAGAATAATTTGTGTATGTGTGTGTGTTCTATAATTTGGGTATATAATGATTCCTTTAAGTAAATATCATCCTAATGGAAATGTGATGTATATATTTCTTAAACATTGGCAGGAATAATGATATATGCTATATCAATGGGGAACTAACATTCACTAAGAATCTACTGACATAGTCTCCATTACAAGCAAAATTTCAAAAACTCTAAAGTTCTTTAAAACTCCATACACAGAGCCTCAGCAGGTGACACAGTATCTTGAACCTCAATAATATTTATCCAGAAAATGTATTTTCTTCAAAATAATGAAAAGTCAACTCAGGAAATCAGATGACAACCTGTATACAATTTTCAGCACCCACCTGACCACCATTAAAATGTATAATAACAGCCGAAACCGGTTTGGCTCAGTGGTAGAGCGTCGGTCTGCGGACTGAAAGGTCCCAGGTTCAATTCTGGTCAAGGGGCATGTACATTGGTTGCGGGCATATCCCAGTAGGGGGTATGCAAGAGGCAGCTGGTTGATGTTTCTCTCATCGATGTTTCTAGCTCTCTATCTCTCTCTGTAGAAAATCAATAAAATATAATTTAAAAAATATATATATAATAACAGAAGCATCTGTGGTATTAACAAGCCATCAAAATACATTTGTATGGTTGCTTTGTAACTTGAAACATCACTGTACAGATGCACACTTTAAATCCTTAATTCTGAATGCCACCTTAGTTCTACCTTCACACCCTGAAGGAGAGTGTTGCATCGCCTATGGATTGCTAACAACAGGTTTCTGCACATCACAGTCCTGAAGATCAGATTTCTTTATTTGAAGTTCTCATTAGAGTCATATTCTCTGCTAGACTCCATCAAAATGAAATCACTCCTTCAATCAGATGCAATTATGGAGGCAAGTAGCTATCAGAAACAGACAAAAATAAACTGATATCCCTTAAAGCTCAAAGATGGTTAAAGAACAATCACTCGTTGTGATAGAGGGACGCGGTATTGGTTGAAAAGAAACCTTTTACTCTGCCCCATAGTAACTCTCATGTTCTTTCCATGGCAGCTCAGGTGGAGTGCATTATGGGCACAGGGACATTGACAATCACAGTTAACACTGACCGAATACCTAGAACATGGCATACATTAAACTAAGCACTTCTACACCCATAGGTTAACTTATCCCTATGAGATGCATACTGATTTCAACCCAATTTAAATATGAGAAAACTGATGCTAACAGAGGTCATGGCACTTGGATTTGATCCCTTGCTGTGGCCCTTATATCTGCATATTTAAGCCTACCCCCCCTCCATAGGTCACAGGGTCATGTGGGTATACAGAAATCTATGTACACAGTGCAGTCATATAACTATAAAATATTCTAGTACTTTTGAGAAAAAATATTAGATATTTCTGTGAATTTCAGGGCAAAACGCAGGCAATTGAGTATTTGCATTTATATTTAAAATACAGCTAAATAATAGAGCCTTTTGTAATATAGCAGGGGTTTGAATCATGTAAATTGGAAACTAGGTTCTTGCTTTGGCCCCAGAGTATGCAGGCTGTGTTGTGGGTTTGAGTGCAGATTCTGGAGTCAATTGCCTGAGTCAAACTCAAGCACTGCCATGTTCCAGCTGTGTGACTTTGGCCAGTTAATTAAAATCTGTCACCTTCCTTCTCTTGAAACAGCCATAATAACACCTATGTCACAGGTTGTGGTAAAGATTAGATGATTAATATATGTAAAGCACTTAAATAGTAACTGGCATATAGGAAGTAAAGAACAAGCATGTTTCCATTATTGTTCCATATTTAGATATGAATAGTTTTAGTGTTCATAAGAATCACCTACCTTCATTAACATGAATTGCCTATTGAGGAAAATCTGTAAACCTCAACTAATATATGTCATAGTAGGTATTCAAGACATGTTTGCAAATGATGATACATATACCTATAACCTATCTACACATGTTATTAATGTGTAGATAGAAAATTGAGAACCATTATTGTTCACAGTATTATTTTAATATAATTCACCTGAAGGTGTTGTCGTCCAAAGAGAACCAAAAATTATGGCATCTATTAAAAGATTTGGTGCCCTCCATAAATACTTCACAAATTTAGGAATTTAGTGAAGATAAAGTTCAGAACAAGATAGGTCAAAGTTTTCAATACTGGAAAATATTGTCCATGAGTAAATGACAATACCAACGTCTCTGCATTTTATCACTCAGCACTGAGGGGAGTTTTTTGTAGATGTGTCTCAGGGGCATTTAAAAATATGTTTTTATTGATTTCAGAGAGAGATGAAG